ATTATCAATATGCGTATTATTATACATACGTATTATTATACGCTATATTAGAGTATTATTCACGTAACTAATTTTATTAAATCGTCTAATTTCGTAATTAAATTTAAGTTAACGTTAATACTTATTATTATAGAACCTTATCGTCGTAACGTCGATTATTAAAACTTTTCTTTTTTTATACGTATTGCTGCTAAACTAATAGAACTGGCGGAAAAGATTAGAATAATTATTGAACTAGCGGAATTTGAGCGAATTCTAATTAGATTTGCTGATCCGACGAATTTTATAATTTCCGCGATAAACGCGCGATCAGCAATTTCAAATTTTGTAGAAACTTTTCAGATTTGCAGATGTATGAAAACGCTTTATTATCTTATTTCTTAATACTTATAACTTCTTTATTTTATTATTTATAGCGAATATCTCCCTCTTAACGAAGTTATTCTTAATCTTCTAACGGATTTTAGAATAATATTTATATATTAAAAAGAATAATATCGTTTTAATAGAGGAATATTAATTATTTATATAAGCGAACTTTATTATTAATAGTTATTTCGCTTAAATATTTTATTTATTATTAATAAATACGCGTAAGAAGTATTTTAATATTTAATTTTATCGCTTAGTCTACTCGTCGATTTATAAGTAAAAAACGATATTTAAGTATTACTTAATTTTAAAATAAAAGTAAATAACGAATTAGAAGCTATTAATAAATATAAAATCTTTATTATTAATAATATCATTTAATATATTATAGCGATATATTATTTCGAAATAAAATACTTTCGCTAGTTAAATAATATCGATTATAATAGATATAGAAATATATCTTATTATTTTTATAAATCGATTTATTATAATTAGAATAATATCGTAGATAATATTCTTATACTTACTCGCTAATAAGTCGATAATAAAGTTTATAAAAATTTTCTTTTATAATTTAATAGCGATAGAAAGCGAGCTTAATTCGCTATATAAACGATATCGCGAAGCTTTAATTCGCTAATAAATGTTATATATCTTAATATAGTCGATAATTTACTTTAGACTTTTATTCTAATAATATTTACGAGTAAGTAGCTTATACGTTTTTATAGTATTAAAGTATTTTAATAATAAATTATTATAATATTTACTAATAAGCTCTTTTTTTAAAGTCTTATTTCTAGAGATATAAAGATGATTATTATATCTTAATAGTTTCTCGAAGTTTAAGATTTATACTTAACTACGTACGCGACGCTTAATCGCTAATTTATTAATATTAATTTAAAAAGAGTTTATCTAATTATTATAGACTTATAGATCTCAAATTAATATTTTTATTAATCTTTAAAATATATTATAAATAATCTCTTATATAATCTTAAACTCTCTTTTAGAAATAATTATCTAAACGTTAATAATATAAAATATAGACGCTATAATCGCTATAAGCTTTTTATCTCTTTATAATTACTTATCGCTAATTTAAAATATAAGCTTATTTTATAATATTAATAAAAGTTTAATATTTAATAACGAAATTCCTTTATAATCGAGGCGTCGCGATAGCGAGTTAATAAGATTTAATTTATCTATTTAATAAAAAATCTTAAAGTTATAAATAGCTAACTTTAACGCTTAACGGGCTTATCTAAAGTTTAATTTCTTCTACTTTATAAAGTCTTTAAGATTATTATAATTTATTAAAATCTTAATATAAAACGTATTATCTTCTAGATAATAACGTTATTACTTTATAAATATTATAATAACAAATAGCTCTTAATTATAAATCTTATAGTTTTACTTTATAGAAATTATTTTCCTAGATTAAAATATTACTAATCGCTAATAACTATTCTTATTTAATTATAAAAATATAATTCTTATATCGAAGTTAAAAGCGTCGATTTTAAGATATAGTTTTAAATTTAGATTATAATAGCGTAGAAATAACGTAATTATAAAAGTATTTTAAAGCTATTAAAACGTTAGCTTAGCGTTATCTATTTACTCTAATAATCTAGATTTCTTATTATTCTTACTCTCTTTAAATAAATTAATAAGTAGCGCTATTATATTAAAATAGTTATAGATAAATTATCGATAGAAATTAGTAAAGTCTAAAAAGACTTATATATCTCGATAACTTTTTAATTTTAACTACTTCTTAATAATAGCGATATATTTTTAATTTATTATAATATTTTCGATAAATATAATAAATCTTAGAAACTTAACCCGCTTAATATAGAATTAATACTTCTTTAAATTAGCGTATAATTAAAATTAATATAAACGCTTAAGTATTTATTTAATATATCGTTAATACTTCGCTAAATTAATATTATAAATTAAAATATTATTTAAATATATTATATATATTATATTTATTAAATCTATAAAAGCTCTATTAATATACGCTTAAAAAGTTATTAATATATTAACGAGTTTAAAAGATATAATTAAATATTCGAAGTAGTCGTAGTAATTACGAAACGCTATTTTTTACTTATCGCCTTCTTTAATTTAAATTTAATAATAAATATTCTTAAGATTTAGCTTTATAAAGATCTTAAAGTTATATAAATAATTTAAAGTCTTAATAATTAGAGATAGCGAGTATCGATTTTTAATAGTTATCGCGTTTAGACTTTAATAATTAATATAAAAATAAAGTCTTTTATTCTTTTTAAGAATAAAAAGAATTAATATTTCGATTAAAGAAGTTAAATAATAAATTTAATTTTTTTAAAGAGAATTCTTTAAATAGCGCTATAACTCTATTAACTTCGTTTAAGATAAATTATATAAGAGACTATATAACGGCTTTTTATCGCTCTTAATCTTAATAATATAATCTCTCTACTTAAGCGTAAATAAGACTTCTACTTTTTTATTAAAAAAAACGTCGTTAAACTTTAATAACTTTTAAGAGAGCTTTAAACTACGCTTATTTTTTAATTCGCTTTATATTATCGCGATATATACGATTATAAATATATTTAACTTCTCTTTAATAGTTTAAATAAATTTAATTAATCCTTTAATCTATAATTTATTAGCGTTAATCTTAAATTATTATTACTTTATCGCTAAGTCTAATAATACTTATAATTAATTTAATTTAAATATACTTAATACGATATTAAGGCCTTTTTAATTAATAATATAAAAGAGTATATTATACTTTCTATTTTAATTTTAGCTATTTATTAATTAGTAATTTAGTTAATATACGCTATAGTAATATATACTTTAATTACTTAACGCTTTTAATTATAATAAGATAATATTATAAAATTTAAAATCTTATTAAATTATAAATTTTTATAAAATTAAATTTATATATACTTTAGTATTAAATAGAATAACGAATTATCTCTATTTACTTTAAAGCTTTATCTATCCCTTTATAAGAATAGAAGAAATTATCTCTATTAATCGTTATTCTTATCTCGCTTCTAAGGCGATTATAAGATTAAATCTTTTTTTATTAATATTATATCGATATAGATTATAGACGATTTATCGAGATCTAGATACTTAGATATTTAATAATTCTATTTATTATAATAAAAATAACTATTCTTCTTATAATTAAGATTAAAAGATTTAACTTTATACTTTACGCTATTATCTTAGATACGCGCTATATAAGCGCCGCTATTTAAAATTAATTTAAACTTTAAAATTTAATTCTTTAAGAGCTTATCTTTAGCGAATCTCTTTAAAGACTTTAAATAGAAATCGTCGTTAAAGTATACGCGTTTTAAAATCTTTTTCTATATAATAGTCTAGATAAGAATTTCTTCTTATTATTTTAATATACTATTAATATTTAAAATCTTATTTTTAAGCTCTAATTTAAGTTTAACTAAAAAGAAATTAATTTAATACTTCTTAGAAAATAAGATTATATAAGCCTCTAGCTTCTTTAAATAGATTTTAAAAATAAATATCTTCTAATTAAAGCGTTATTTAATCTTCTGTCAGGAGACAATGTAACTATGTTATGATTTGGTGTGTGGTGTCAGGACCAGCATAGGTGCGATACCAGTATGGGTGAGGTAGAACTAGGATAATAAGGCTACCGAACTATGTATGTGGGAAGGAGGCATGATATAGTAGGAGATGCCTCCGCCAAGGCCCGCTAGCCATAGGGCTGAGGGCTGAGTGGTGTGTCAAGGGTACGCTCGTAACACTACCCCCCCCTCTCAAATAGCCATGGCCCCCATGGCTGGTAGACCGGAGATGCACGCCCATCGCTTGCCCTGTGTCTCCAAACATCCATAGTCCGTGTAGGCCTCGACCGGAGAAGATTTGCCGAGGTATAGTGGTATTGCCGGGCCGCATGCTGGTCTTGACTGTGCCATGCCTATATTATTCTCCAGAGATCCTGGAGATATAGCCACATCTTGCCTGCGTACCAGCAAGATTCTCCGAGTTCTTCTCCTTGCCTAGTCTTCTTGCCATATTCCTTCGGTAGAATTGAAGAAAATCCAACGCATGCATTCACCTCCAACACCTTTTGGCAGCCTGGCCTGGGAGCTTCACTGTAGATTTGCCCTGTGTCTCCCATGCTCTTGCCATCAAAAATCCATCCTCCATTCCATCCTCTGTTGTAGGGTTTGATAGGGAGGTAGGTGATAAGAATCGAATATATTAAATGCCATTTGGTAGCAGGCTTACTATGTGTGTTGTCGACATGCTTAGTGAAGAGGTCGGTTATAATCGTATTGCCGGGTCTGTTCCCGTCGCCATTGTAGCAGGCTCACTATGGTGTTGTCGACATGCTCAGTAAAGAGGTCGTACGTTTGCTGCCTTTGTAGCAGGCTCACTGTGAGTGTGGGGGTGTTTGTTTGTTATGTAGGTCGTCGTATGTAAGGTAGGGCTTGTGTGGGTGATCGGCGATGCGGAGCGAGGTATCTTGGTGTTGATGTAGGTGGATTTGAAGAATTCATGATGTTTTGAATGTAGGTAAGAACGGAGCGGAGAGATCGATGCGGAGCGGAGAAGGATTTCTTGTATTCGGTGGAGGGGACTCGTTTTTTGATGGATTGGGCTACCGTTGATGATGTAGGTTGTTTGATGTAGGTTCTTTCGAATGATGTAGGTGGTTTGTGATTTGTATATGTGGTGGGGCTTCTGTATGGTAGAAATACCCAGCGTTTTCTTTATCAGGCTCGGTCGCTTGCTCCGAGCAGAAAGTGAAATATTCGGTAGCTATTTAGTCACTCTGCTATCCTCGAGTGTGTCCGTTTAAGTTTCTCTTCGCCGGGGGGGTACGAAGGAGCCTTATTATAATGTCAGGACCAGCATAGGTACGATACCAGTATGGGTGAGGTAGAACGAGGATAATAAGGCTACCGAACTATGTAGGTAGGAAGGAGGCATGATATAGTAGGAGATGCCTCCGCCAAGGCCCGCTAGCCATAGGGCTGAGGGCTGAGTGGTGTGTCAAGGGTACGCTCGTAACATGTGGTGTAAAAGATGTTGATTATTCTATGTGCCTGCAGGGCAAATATGTGTGGTGCCAAGCCCACGCTAGGTAGCCCTAGCCCTAAGGCGAGGCAAGGCCTTGGCGTACCGTGACAACATGCCCGCAAAGAAAGAAAAAAAGACACGTCCTCGTGGCTGCATCTCTGGATAGCTACATTAAGCATGCGCCGTCCATATATCCATGCACCTATCCTTGGCCTATAGCCTCCATATCCTTCGCAAATCGAGTGTAGTCGAGCGGAGAGGCGAGAGCGAGAAGAGAGGTAAGAAGAGAGGCGAGAGGGGTGGCGAAAACTGGTGTATTGCTGAGGCGAGGGGAAGGCTCTCCGCACTTATGCATAGTGGCCTGGCGTGGAATTGTGGAGAGTGTGCCCGCTTGAATAGGACTGCTGCTGCCCGTGCTCTTGTTCTTCTTCGCAGTTTTCTCCGTATTTGCCCGTGGTAGTGGCCTATGCTCTTGTTCCTGCTTCGGTGGCTGTGCCGGCTTTGGCGGAATGGCTGCTTGCTTTTGCTGTGGCTGCAGTGGTCCAAATCGCTTGTCAAGTGCCTTGTCGAGCACGTCTTCTATGAGCTTGGTAATGGAGCGGACTTGCTCTGCTGAGAAGCCGGGAATAGGGCTGCTGTTGAGAGGCATAGCGACTGGCCTATCAAAAGGATCGCTTAGTGGACGGTGGGGTCGTGTAGCGACTCGTGGGACTGTGAGTACTGGTGTAGGAGCGTACTTGGTGTTGAGGTAGGTGGGGTCCTAGGGGAGGAGTAGGCAACTGGTGTGGGAGCGAAATAACTTAATAGACGCCTGTTGAATGATCTTCAGGTGTTGCTACCATGTTGTCAGGAGACAATGTGACTATGTCATGATTTGGTGTGTGGTGTAAAAGATGTTGATTATTCTATGTGCCTGCAGGGCAAATATGTGTGGTGCCAAGCCCACGCTAGGTAGCCCTAGCCCTAAGGCGAGGCAAGGCCTTGGCGTACCGTGACACCTTCTCTCACTTTTTATAAATAAAAAGATAACGATTTATTAAATTCGCTATTAAATTAAGTAGAAACTATTTAAAGAATTCGAAAGTTATATTTTCTAGATTATAAATTTAATAATATTTATATTATTAAATATTAAGATTATCTTTTAAAGATTATATATAATAAATAATTCTTAATTAATTAGTAATAAAATACTTAGAATTTATAAAGAACTTAATTTTAACTTCGCGAAATTAGCGTAAATACTCTCTCTTATTAATATTCTTATAAAAATATATTCTTTTAGAATAAAGTATTTTCGTCTTAATTAGTATATTCGTTAAAGGCGCGATAATAATTAATATAAATAAGTTCTTATTAATTATAGATAATAAGCTAATATTATAAAGCTCGCGATTATAGACCTCTAATATAACTAATTCTTATTCTTATTTTAGATAACGATTTTCAATCTTAGCGATTATAAGACGTTATTTTATAGTAAGATCTTTTATTAATAAGAAATTCTTAAACTTATTATTAACGCTATAGCGACTCTTAATATTATCTTCGTTTTTTATTATACGACTTAGAGATAAATCTAATATCGTAATAATAATAAATTTTTTTCTTTAAAAGATAGAGAGATTAGAATTATAAGAGCGTAGTCTATTAGCGATTAATTAGTAAATATAAACTATAAAAAATTTAATATCGTTATAAAATTTAATAGTATATTTAATAATAAAACTAATCTCTAAGAAATATTAAAACTTCGAGATATATAAAGTAAACTTATATTCGCTAAGCTCTTAAGTATACGAGATACGTTATTAAAATTAGACTCTAAAAGAGACCTTAATATAGAATATACGATATCGACGCCTTAATATAAGTAGCGCTAAGGTTTATAACGTATTAGATCTAATAAGTAAAATTAATCGAGTAATAAAAATTTATAGAGTAAGATAGTTTCGTAATTCGAATTAACGAATATATCTCTTATTTTTAATTAATTTTATAAATATCTTATTCTTAATAGATCTTAACTATTATAGAGTTCTTAATTTTTTATTCTTTTCGAAATAGTTTTTAATCTTATAACGGTTTCTCGGTTCTATAACGATTTCTCGGTTCTATAACGGTGTTATAACGGTGTCGTAACGGTGTCGCAACGGTTTTAATATATAAAACGTATTAAAAATATTACAGTTATTTTAACTCGATACGATTTTTTATTAATACGTATTAAGATATATAACCGTTAATTATTTAGTCCGTTTTTTATTCTTCATCGTCTAAAGGCGGAGGTGGCCTACTAACACGTCTCAATAAAACAACCGTATATTTACCGTATATATACAGTAAAAGAAGGCCGCTGCTACTCGCTAAGGTAGGCTTGAAAGCGTACGACTGCTTTCCCAATTCCCACACACATCGTGAGGAGCTTTTCTTTTGACTACTCGTACGCTAATTGGCGGCTAAGGCAGAAATTCCCAGGCATGCGCTTTCCACAGCCCTAAAGTCTACTAGTATATCTTGGCAGGATCAATGTGCTCGGCAGTCCGGTTACTTTGAGGAGACTTATTAGAGTCTAGACATAAACAATCCATCAGAGCACTTTCTGTCCGAAAATTGCATTCACTGACTACAGATGACGAGGAGTAGTCATCACTCCCTGAGATTTGAAGCGATGCGGTCTTTTCTGTCACCGGCTTTTCACGCTCGCTCTTCAAACCCATCTATCCAACCGTGCTACAAAATTTCCATGCCTCTAGGGTAGCAGGTTTGCGACCCACTCCTCACTATCACGATACTCCAGTCTTTACTTAAAATCTGGGAGATCAAATTGACGCTGTCGGTAATGATGGCATCAAGGCCAGCCTTCGCTTGCGTCTATATTGACTCAAGTATCAGCCGAAAATCATCTTCAGATCCATGTAGCGAGAATGTCCCGTGTAAGTTCAAACTCGCGAATTATCTTGGCATGTTCGGGAACATCACTGAGACCTCCCCACGAGATACATAGGAGCCCCGAGTCCTTCACATGTCTAATCAGATCTGGACTCAATACTAGCGGCTCCGATCGGCTAATGACACGCGGCAGGCGCCAGCCTCTGGCAAAATGAATCGCCTGTTCAAGGCTGTCTGCGCGTGCGTCGGCAGAGGGGATGTGACCAGATTCAGTCAGGAAGACGACGGGGTAGACGTGTTGTTTGTTTGAGAGCAGAATGCGAATGTCGGGCCTGAACTACAAAAAGAACATGGTGCGATTTCCGGCAAACCGGTAGATATTGTCGAGGATGGTGTCGACAAGGTGGTTCTAATCTACAGCATAGGTGTCCATTCCCCAGTCACGAGCTTCAAAGAGCACGGGATATTCTGGGAGGAAACAAGCTTAGCTTCTGAGGCCCTTTCTTTTGGGGATGTTGTAGGCAGAGGACTTACTAATTTCGACGGCAAATCTGACGGACTCGGGAAGCTTCACAAACAGATCCTCTCAAGTCAAGAACGATGCTTGGATGTATTCACTCCTGGTGTCCCCTTTGTGTGAGTCACACCCTTTAAGTTCGTTGAGCTTGAACTCGACTGTATGCTTCATACGCTCCACTAGGCTTTTAGCACAGGACTGTTCGTACACGTTCGAAGAATGTGAGCGCGGTCTATAGCCGGCACCGAGTTGGTCTCCGCATCTTTCTGTGTATGTTTTCTCCGCCAATGATGGAAAATCTCCTGGAGTCGACTGCGACTCGCTGATGTACAAGAATTGTGGGAGTAAGTTTGCGGGGATACTGGGGCAGACCAAAAAATATCGGAATTACCTGCTCTAGAGTGTGAATATGTAATGGATGGTGCATCTATTCCTATTTCACTCATGAGGAAGTCATGGTATATGATCGGCGCATCGTCTTTCGTAAGTTGAACATCTTCGCTCGTTATCATGAAAACAGTGAGCAGCTCATGACATGCATCACGAACCAGACTCGGTTTAGCATGTTGTCCAAGATGGGGTATGAAACTGTAAGAATCCCATAGTTTGGGGTATGAAAATGTAATTTGCCCTATGTCGGATGCTCAAATGACGGAATCACTTTCTCGATGCGCTGCTCCCTTTCTTGGAGGCTGTTGTACGTTGAGCTCGCCTTGAAGCTTCCCACATCCAACGCCATCAGCACCTGTGCGATAGGCAAGTAGCCTCTGAAGGCAGCATGGGTCTTTCGCTGACCAGCCGAAGAGGTCACGTACGTTTGGATCTGGTCCTGCTCGAAGTAGAAGCTCCACGACGGGCATGTTCCCCTTCACGCAAGTATCCGTGTCGTCGTGGGAGTGATGGATACCACGATGTACGACATCGACACCAAGTGGGGGATATGAGCGAATTTTGGAGGCAAAGGACCCAAGCTTGGTAGTAGTAGCACAGTTTTGGGAAGATCAGTTGAAGCAAAATAGACACACAAAAAAGTAAGGGGAAGCAGAGAAAACCGGCACGGGTGGGCGAAGAAGTAATCGAGCATTGTGGCGAATCACTGGATAACAGAAGTAAATAGGCAATGGAATACCATTGCGGAAAAACAAGAGAAGCTGCACAACGCGGCGTTTGTATCAGCTACCTATTTACCCGGCGATATAGATAGGATAGAGGAGGAGCTGGGCCGATATAGTTCTTGGTGAGACCCTCAAGCGTCAGATCTCACTGAGATTAGCATTGCATATAATCAAAAAATACCATCTCAGCAACTTGGCAATTCATGTGAAGTCAAGGATCTGGGCAAAGTACTCCGCAGACTAAGAACTTCCTAAGTAGGTATTTCCTGCTGGTTGTCAAGTTTGTTGGGATTTGGGATCCAACGCAACCGCTACTTCTGTTGTCAGCTTGCTTGAAAGACTGTCAGCAGATGATAACGAAAGCAAAAAGGAGGAGAGCCATGAACTCTCCAGTGAAGTATTAACATTATGATGCCTTTCGGTTTCTTTTATACCTGCAAGAGGAAGAATTCTATGTAATTGTTAGTCATTAAGCATGAATCATTGACCCCATTCTTGTTCACAATAGCCTGCCCTTTGTCCCTCCAACGCTATGCTGAAAAACAGATGTCTCGCTGCAAATTTTTAGTACTCGATCCTTCGCTATGCAGTTACCCGCTCAAAGCATGAGCGAAGTGGCCAGGAGCCAGCCCGCGAATAGAATTACAAGGTCTGCAGCCTTCCAGGCCCCTGCCTTCGCAGAAGCTGAAACGAGTTTTGTGACCTTTTGAGAGGCGGAAGCCGCCGCAGAAACAACAGGCGAGCTTACAGCACTGTCAGCAAGAGCTGTAGGCGATGCTCGAGTCGTGAAAGAAGGGCTGTCGGTGATCAAGAAACCTTGTTCGTTGTATGACTTCACCGCAGTCGCAGCTCCAGCTGGTTGAGTGATGATCATAGGAAATCCTTGTTGATTATACGATGTGACGACTTCATATCCACCATCCCCAGGAGAACCCTAATGTCAGAGTCAGCATGCCCTTCTATGACACAAAGTCGACGCGTAAGAGATGTTCACGAAGGACGGGCAACAAGGAGAATAAGCCGCTTCCAAAACATAATATTAACATGTGTCACAAATGCAGGGAGCACAACACAGGGAAGAACGCCTTTTCAGGACGTGAAGCCGAGTACAAGGATCACAAGATGCCACACTCCCAAAAAACGTCACCCTGCCCTGATCGAAATCTGAATAGGAAGGGACTGATCCGGAAAGCACATACCTGCTGCGAGTCCGCTGGCAATGAAGTAGACGATACTTGTGGGGACGTTACCTGCCCAAAGTCAGCGTAATGCGGGTTAATTGCCTTGAGTACAGGGCAGCTCACTCACAGATGCCGCACTTGGCGGAAGGACTTTGCCAGAACTTGTCACTGTCCACCCAGCTGGCAGACCCGGATATGTTGTGACTGTTGCCGTGCTGCTTGACGAAAGCGTAGTTGGGGTCCATCCGCCCGCGTTTGGCTGAATGACGGACGATGACGACTCAGCATGAGTTCCTTGAAATGGCATTGGGCCGTTGGTAGTCCCGGTGGTTGATGGCGCTACGTCGGCGTTGATTGCAGTATCACCATTGCCAGTTGAAACGACTTTACCATTTACAGCGGTGATGGACTGCCATGTACCGTCTGTGCCCGAGTATTCATACTGACTCCCAGTCGAATAGTCAGTGGCGGCAATAGACTTAAGCACCATGGAGTAGGGTCCGGAGGTGTAGTCGGTGTATACGGTGCCCGAAGCTTGACCTGTCGCCCATTCTGAAGCAAGTCGTCAGTCGCATCATATCGAGACGTAGATCCTGGATCCTGACTTACGTCTAGTACCGAGGGCTGCTGAAGCGTCACCACCACTCCACGAGCCAACCTTGATCATCATTGGAGTCTGAGGATATGGGTACCCTCCAGTCGAGTCTGGAGTCAAAGTCCGGACAGTGGCTCCATTGACTTGCCAGGTGATTTGATCAGCTGTCCAGTCGATGGCATACGTAATGAAATCATCGTGATTACTGGCGGCGGCATTTGCCTGCCCTCGATTATAGGTGGTCGTCTCACCCTTGCCGAAGTAGTTGGTTTGGACATTGGCATCGTCATATCCAAGCCATTCAAAGTCGATTTCATCCAGGTCGTCTGACTGTAGGATCGCGCTGCTCACAATTCCAACCCCGGGAGCCGCTTTGACCACGAACTCGACGTGGCCGAACATGATGTACCATTTTGATGCAATGAGTGGAGAATCACCAGCTTTTGCTACTGTGAATGAGGCTCCATTTGAATCGTATGTTGGGCTGCCCTGAGGGGTGAAGGAGCTGGATTCCCCAGAGGTAAAATCGATGTTTACTGATTTGCCAAGTGCTGTGTCGGCTGGGCAATTGGCTATGCAATGTTAGCCCGAGGCCCAAATTGGTCCGAAGCCAAGGACTTACTGCTTGTGAGAGGATTGCAATTTGTGTAGGTCTGAGCAGAAGCCGGGGCAGCTGCCCAGATGGCCATGACGGCGGCGAGGAATGTTTGCGATCTCATGTTGGGCAAGGCAGGTCTTGTCGGCAATGAGCCGTTGATTGTGGAACCTATGAGCTAGCGACAGCGACTGATGATGGTAATTATATGGGATGAAGGCAATAACGCAGTCGGTGATGATGATGATGATGATGATGATGATGATGATGATGATGATGATGATGGTGATAGTGATGATGGGTAGTGGATGCAGCGAGTAGAGAAGAAAGAATGGGAAGAGGACGCAGGAGAACAGCAGAGTGGTGGGGGTGACTTCCCGAATTATTTGGTCGTTCTTCAAGAACTCCAAATTTATCCTCACCACCGCACTTTCCTCCAGCCACTCCTTTAATTCTTCTGGATTTTGTTAGCGGTGACGCGTGCAGTAGAAGTACGTGAGATTTGATATTTTTGCGAGATGTGATTAGAGCAATTATGTTCGGTGGCTGGAATGCTAGAGACAATCATGTAAAAAGTAGAATGCAAGCTCGGAAGGAGGAGCGACAGAGAAAAGAGAGGGCTGGCAATTGTTTACTAGAAATCCGTCGGCACGGAAACTCAAAGCTAGGGTTGCATTAGCGCCCGTTCCCGCCAGCCAGAAGCTTGGCAATGGCGCAATTAAGGTAGGCTCGGTGGCTCGGTAAGAGGTCATCAATCAACGCTTCCCGCGAACTACAAGTAGTCGTAGTCATATTAAGGCAAAGAAGAAGGAAGTATAAGAATCCTAGCTATGGTACTTAAGTTATTCTTTTGAAAATCATTGCTAAACCTGTCTACCCAATGCTCTGGCGGAACTACAACTCGACATAGACACGCCGACCCTCTTAGCTACTTCTGATACGGCAACCAGCTGGAAAACACTTCTCTATGTACAACATTGCAAGAAGAAAAGATGTATAGACTACAGTTTGATCGAGCTCCTTGCCAATTTCGAGATTGTCAATGCTCAGACCCACGTGATAAAGAGTACTCACTACGTGCCATAGCCAACAATGTGCAGCACTATTCTCCATCCGATTACATCAAGTCAGTTCAGAACGTCTACTGTGAATGTTCTCTATCTACAATTAATTGCGGAGATGGAATGAAGCTGTTGGTTCGAGCTGACATTGGTTGTCGAAATGACACAGTGCTAATGAATTTACCATCCTGGGTGCCAAATTGGGCAGACAAAGACAGCGACTCGATTGCAGATATGGAGGTTATACCACTCTTCCCGACCTCGCGATAAGAAATACAAGTAAACCACGACTCGCTCGAACTTCAGGTACGCGGCACATCTGTCGATGTACTAGACAGATTCGGATCTATATGGAAATGTGATGATGGAGAAAATCTACTTGCATCTCTTCGCTCATGGGAGCTCGAGCTTAGGGGTTTCGCCCAGGAAAACCATTTCTACTCGGATGAATATTGGGAGGTCTTTGAGGGTTTCCTAGGGAAGGTTTGACATCCTAGAGTCGTTCCTGACCCCTCCAGATCCATCACTCATTATGTTGAGCCCCCAATCTTTGAGTATGTTGAGCGTCTCAGGACGGAACCTGTGGACGATGCTAGCTACCAAGAAGCTGTCAAATCAGTCTTTCCCTCCATTTCCATCCATGAGTATATCAAGCTTGTCAGGACTGAGCAAGTATGACGTAGACGTAATTGTCTTGGGAGCTAGAGTTGTGATAGTAGCAGCCCTCAAAATCGTTGTTCGAGTTGATGAGGCAGTCGTTGTTGACGTCAATGTGTTATTGAGGTCGCGAATCAGCTGTCGGTCTCAGAAGTTGGAAATTGCGAGGCGGTGGTTGAGATTAACGAGTCAGAGAATACATACGAGTATGAGATAACGGTCACTCCATACGAGACAGTGGCTGGGTACTTTGTGGGTGTGTTTGCTAGAACACCACCTTGGACAACGAGTCTTGGCTTCGAGGAGCTAGAAGTCCGAGCGTCCAGCCAACGCAGCAGCAGCCTATTCGAGGTGCCGTCAAGGCGCTCTTGTCTTTGACCAAGACTGACGTTGTAGGGGCAGAAGAAACAGCAGCCGCTGGAATTGTTGAAGACGCTGCAGGGAATTAGCTACCCGCTGGCACGAACCCTGGTGACGTTGGCACAGTGGTGGTACCTCAGAGTCCTTCCTTATATCAGATTTTTCAGGCCCGAACATTGTTTGCGTCCGGAACGTAAACGCATAAAGTCCCACGAGGTCTGTGGGGTAGATGCCTTTGGTGATGGGACGGTCATGTGGGGTCTTTTGTGGGATATTGGGAGGCGGCGTTCCCATCATTACAGGGACGGTGTGACTATGAGGTCACCGTCACACGCGCGTGTAGTCCCTAGGAATGTTCTTTCGGGAACCTGTAGCGGCACAACAATGTGTTGGTGCAGCGGAAGAGCCATAAATTTCGTGCGTAGAATCGTCGTCGACGCAAAATCTTCCGAATGCCCGACACGCAATGTACTATGGTCATACAGAATTTAGATGATCAGTATCTCAAAGGATTTGATGTTGTCGTTATCGCACGAGGGAACGACTGAGCAATCACAGCGACGTTCGAAGCAGAGTGCAGAGTAGAAGCACCGTACAAGTTATGACAATGCTGGGACTGTTGCGCATGCGATTTAGAAGAGTAGTGAAGCTGAGGACAGGAGTGCTAGCATTCCTTATTGTGAAGCCATCTCTGGAGCAGATTGCCTGATTGACTTGAAAGCATGATTGAGATTGGCTTTTCTTTACACACCTTTGCAGCTGCGTCGACCATTTTTCGCTTTGCGCCATGTTATCCTAGACTTTAGTAAGCGCCTTTCCATCTGCACTTCAATGGTGGGGGGGAAGGGAAGGCTCAATGTCAGATAGCCTGGGCCAGTGTCATGGTAGTCATGGGTCACTGAGTACTACTACCAACCGCATGGCGTCAGAACAAAAGGCAATGGAATAGTACATCTCCTCCAAAGCTTGATAAAGAGTTATCGACGAGGAAATTTCTGAGCTGTTTGAGGCTCTCTTGGGAAGAATTTCGGTCCTGAATAAAAATAATCCTGGCTTTGATGCCCAAAAGCGAAGTGAAAATAAGGGCCAGCATGGGGATTTGGCGACGCAAACTTTCAGTTTGTTTGACAGCTTGCCGGGCCCGCATGCTTCCGCATCTACATATGGTCACAATAGGGGACTTCCTACCTTCAAAACACAAGAAAGATTGGGTTGGTGAAGCATCAGGCAAGCTGCCAGAAGAAGTGACAGTCTTGGTACTGACTGACATCTTCCAAACTTAATGTACTCATAGGTATCGAGCCAAGAAAACTTAGCAATCAATGTGTAGAAACAGTCCAGACAGAGTGCTTCATGGGTCATGAACCTCGTATCTGTATTTTGTACTCAGAATGTCAACATTACAAGGGTTCATAACACCGCAAATGCCCATTTGTTCTGGCAGCGCGCCTGGCACCGGTGGCACATTGAGTGAGTTCTCTAAATACAGTAAGTACTTTAGGATCGAGGCGATTTGCTTTTCCATGTGAGGTTGTCGCTCATGCCGCGGCTAGAGCCGAACAGGGTCAAGCTTGTTCTCCACATTTGGTGTCTGCGGCCGACTCCTCCAAATGCCATGAGGCTCTGCATTCAGTGTACGGCCACTCTCCAGCTCATTCTCCTATCTTATCGCATCAGCTGTAGCAATCCGGTCAGGCTGCACTGAGTCACCTTTCTTTGGCCTTCTGCAGCCGGATGCTCACCAACAAGAGAATCTTTCTTTGCCCGCTTTCCCGCAGCAACGACTGGCACGCTTGTCCGGCATAAAGGCCATCCCGCTCAATGTGCTTGTACTTTCTCCGCAGACTTGGGCCTGGCTTCTGCGCGTAATTGCCACTCTAGTTCGTTGCTGCGTTACCGCCATACTGCTCGCAACGATGACCAAGAGAGACAACTCAACGACCAAGAATGCGTCAGAGAGCTTTAAGAAAGGCGGTCTGCGACTGCATGACAAGATAATGGGGGGACCCGAGGCGAGCTCGAGAAAAGTACATCCGCAACTTCGTACTAGCCAGAAGGACTTGTAAGTCAGCCTCAGTCACTGCCACCGCCTTCATTTCTATCAGGCCACCCATTCGCTTGCACGCTGGATTAGCCATACACTCTGCTGGAATTGTGCCGACTGCTGGTCATGCTTCAACACCAATGTTCGAAACCCACGACTGCGAGCTCTTTCAAAGAGTATGATCGCGAGTAGCCCACAAAAGACATGAGGCAGGCTAGGAATTTCATCACCAGGAGACCCTGCTCGCCATACTTCTCTTCAACTTCTACCATACTCCAGGTGTATGCTGGGTCAGGTAATGAATGCTGACAATACGGTTATTTTCATTTAGGGCCGCTAAGAATTCGTCGATCGTTAAAGGCAATGGGACGTTCTTCTCCGACTCACCAGACGACGCGTCACCTGCCGATGCGATCAGAGGCACATACCTGGACTACCATCAAGAGAAGGAAAAGTCGGAGGCGGCAAAGGGACCCGTACCCTCCGTGTCAAAGCGCCCGCCCTTAACAGAGGCTCCAAATGCCGACATAGCACCGTGGATGGACGATGGGATTCCGGCCTTGTCCACTCATGGTCTCACATCCTCCAACTTCTTCAATGATGGTCTGTCAAAAGCTCAGCGATCGCCATCATTTCGTCCGGACTCGGGGCGTACCGCCGATAGCGAGTCGCCAGATCCAATGTTTCTGACCAACGACCGAACACCGTCATTAGCAAGTGCAACCACTGTTGACAGCCAAAGCTCGCTATCTAAGGCTAGCACAAGCAGGGGTACACCGTACAAGAAGGCAGCGGGGTTCTTTGGTGACGAAGGCCAGCAATCACCACGAAGCTCGGACACAAGCATACCTAGCACTCTGCAACGTGAGCAAACCGCGTCCTCTCGGCATGGCTCTAGACATGCCAGTCGGGATGAGGGGCGGCCAGTTTCTCCGAGTAGCTCTAGGCCAAGGACTCCGCTGCCCTCAAGTGACGTGGTCCCATGGCTGTTCCAAGATTTCA